ACATTTTGGCATATCCTGGAACAGGTATTTTCCATCAGATATTGATATGTTGAACTTTAAGTCTTTAGATTCTGTATTATTAGCACAAAAATGTGAGGTAATGTGTATATTAATTAGGTCAACATAGGCATCTCACAAAATATATGTATTTTAAACCAATGATTATACAAAATAAGCATATATAATTTTATGCGCCAATTAAAATTGCAACAGAGTTAAATCCACACGCTTTACTGTGACTCTTTCATCTGACAGATCTCAATATTTTCTGCTTCCACCACGTGACACCGTTCCCCCGATGGGATTATGGCAAGGGAACAGCTTCTCCAAGGTGTCATAATGTTCTGTAGAGACACTCATAGAAATTTCTAATTGTTTCTGGGAATTAGGAACTGTAACTAACTTTCTTGTTTTTTGTTTTTAGATTAGTCTCAATTGCCCTGTTGTCACTGTCATCAAAACTACTGGTGAAATGCTGATTGCATGTCTGTTGGGAGCTAAAATCATAGAACCGAGACCCCATATTTCAAAGCTGGGCTACCTGCCTCCCACACAGAGAGTGGTATTATAACCATTACCGGGGCCTGTTACTGTTTCCTGTTGCAGTCTGTCAGACAAGAGTCCTTAAGGGATTGAGCTACATCCAAGCATGCATCTGGTAAACCCTCACATCTGGAAGAGTGATTCATCTGCAGTGACAGCCACACAGGAAGGAAAGAGGGGTGATCCCTGAGGCAAAGCCTGAGCTCAGGATGGAGACTGGAAGTCTGAGACCCTGCGCCAGTTGCTAACTTTTTCTCTTGCGTTTTCATATAATGAGCATTGATGATTGTGGTGGGGGATTGTGCTGAGCCACAGTGACATCCAATCTGTAAGATGCTGAAGCCTGTAATTTAGAAATCAGTCTGCTATTCAACTTGTTCTACAGAAATTACAGAAAAACTTAAGGACCAGTATTGTTGCTGAAGTAGGATTCTGTTTGTGATAACAAGTGCGATGGATAAACATATAGAGAGGTGATCGAAAGGCCCGTGCTGTGCCGTGACGATGCCTCTCCTGCTGGGTTGGGCGTGTTACACGGAGATGAGGATAGAGACCTCTTTGAAAATATCTGTAGCGTATAGATCAAGCTTGGGCAGCTTTCCTCTCTGCAGGTGGGGAAGGAGAGAGCCGGGGAAGGAGAGAGCCAGGAAAAGTTAACTTCATCCTTGAGGGAGCTGCACTGAACACATATTAAGGAGTCTTGGTTGTTTCAGATTGAAAGTGTCTTGTGGCATTTTGTCAGGTTATAAAAATTCCAGTGCCCTTTTCAGGATGAACTTTGTCTTTGTGTTCTATGCACATGGCTGATTTGAGGCTGCAGAATTCCATTTTGCATGCCTGTCTCATATTTTACCATCGTTCCTGAATAACTTATTATTCTTTCTTTTTTCTGAAACGAGAAACATGTAGTTAAAGGCAGTCTAATGAAGATTACATTAGTTTCTACAACAAAATATTTTACCACTTATTTAAATTTTACATGCCTTAGCTTAGATCTCTGCCAGGTATTATGACTAATTTCTGTGAGAGACACCATTGGCAAAAATGTTGCACCATTGTTGTTTTTATCCTGCTAATGATCCGTGAGAAGTTGGCCAAGGAAATTGTTGGAGCGTCACTTCCTATGGCCTTTCAGTCTTCGTTCACAGGTGATACAGGTATATGGGAGAAATGTTTGCACACAGATGAAAAATTAATCACAATTAAAATTATTGAATAGCAGATGTTAATAATAACAATTTATACATGTGTGTGGGGTCCTAAATGAGCACCACCATGTCTCTATGAAAACACGGGACAGGACAAAGTCAAAGATGCATGTGGTCTGCTGTAAGGCTTATACCTGGTTTTTAAGGGTATTTAGATGAGTCGTACAACCTTTTCATTGAACTGTGTGTGTAAAGGGAAATACTAATTTCTAACTCGTTATTTTGTGTGTATTAAATGAGTTGGAATAGGTAAGTTATTGATTATTGTGGTCCATACATTGTAAATGCTCTGTAAATACACATCAGACATTAGGTGTGGGCTTGGTGGCACCCTCCTATAATCCTAGTGCTCTGGGAGGTGGAGTCAGGAGGAATGTAAATTTAAGTTCATCCTATTCAATTGAGTGACTTACTGAAAACTTCTCAAAATAAAAACAAGCAAACAAAATTTGGACATGTAGCTCAGTGTGAAGTCCCTAGGATTAATGTCCAGTATTGAGGGATTAAAAACAATATATAATGCTTTAGAGAAACTGGAAGGTAAAACATCTTAGAAGTGACTTTGAGAAGAGGGGCGTTGGTAAGTGAAGAATTTTGAATTTTACTTTTTTTTTTTTGCGGTACCAGAGATTGAGCTCAGGACCTTGCACTTTCCAGGCAAGCACTTTATTGTACTGAGCTATATCCCTGGCCATAAATTTTACTTTTTATAAAATACTCCACAACTTAAGTTTTCAAAAAGTTCCTATGTTTTGGAATATTTGCATTTAAGCTCTGGACAGTCATAAAATGACTTATGTGGATTTGAAACTTGGACTCCTCTTCCTTTTGCAGATTGTCATTGGAATCCTGGGGAATTTAGCACTCTGGTGTCATTACTGCAGCCTTTATTTCAGTGGATGCAGGTCTAGGTCGACAGATGTGATCCTCAGGCACCTGACTGTGGCCAACTCCACTGTCATTGTCTCCAGAGGAATCCCAGAGGCCATGGCAGGTTTTGGGTTGAAACATTTCCTCAACGCTGTTGGATGCAAACTCATTTTCTATGCTCACAGGGTGGGCCGGGGTGTTTCTGTGGGCAGCACCTGCCTGCTGAGCGTCTTCCAGGCCATCAGCATCAGCCCCAGGAGCTCCTGGTGGGCAGAGCTGAAAATCAAAGTCCAGAAGTACATTGGCTTGTCTAATAGCCTCTGCTGGGTCCTGAACATGCTGCTGAATGTCAGAGTGGCAGTGCTTGTGACTGACAAGTGGAGCAACAGAAACATCACAAAGACACTATCTTATCAACACTGCTCAGCTGTGCTTCCCAGGAAAGACACACGTTCAGCTTTTGGCACATTTCGCTTCTTTTATGACATTGTGTGTCTGTCACTCATGGTCTGGGCCAGTGCCTCCATGGTTTTCATTTTGTACAGACATGAGCAGCAGGTCCTCCATATCCACAGACATGGTGTCTTAGCAAGACCTTCTCCTGGGACCAGGGCCTCGCAAAGCATCCTTGTGCTGGTGAGTGCCTTCATGCTCTTTTACACTCTGTCTTCTGTGATTCACATTTTGCTTTCTCTTTATTATGAAGGTTCTTGGTGGCTGATCAATACTTCTGCCTTCACGAATGCTTGCTTCGCCACTGCCAGCCCCTTCATTCTCATGGGTCGGGAAGGTGGTGTACTTATGCTGATTTGGAAGAAATGAGCAAGTATCTCAACTCTAGATATGTGACTTTGTCTCCTTTTCATGCGTTTGGTATTAGATGAACTCACATCACAGGATCTTAGAACAGGCATGAAGCACTTTGACTGCAGAGAGAGGAACAGATACGATGGCCAGAATATTTGATTAGTAGCAATTCCAAGTGAACTTTAAAACATTTTCATTTTTGATACAATACCCTTTTAAATATTGGGTATTGCTGATTTTTTTTTAAATTTTTTAAAAATATTTATTTATTTATTTATTTATTTTGTGTGTGTGTGTGTGGCCAGCTCAGCCCACCAGGGGGCGGGGCTGGCTGACATGTGGTGCTGGGGGATTGAACCGTGGTCCCTGTGCTTTGTTTAGCTTAGCTTGTTCTAAGTAGGTGCTTTAGACCACTGAGCCATCTCACCAGCCAGGTATTGCTGATTTGAATTTTTTTTTTTTTTTGCCACACTCAATAATGTCAAGGAATTTTATTTTATTTTTTTCTATGTCAGTTTGGTTTCACTCAAGTTTCTTTCATTTGTCTCTTCTCTCCATACTCATAGGAGCCTTGGTACATCCCGGTATATCAGATGCTGATCTTGAATTTATATCATAGTGTGCTATATCTACCTAATGTAAATAATCATGTAAAAATTCATTACACATTAACACATCATAACTGTTAATTTTTAAACAATAATATTGTTGCATTATATATATATGTATATAGTGGATATATATATCCATAGCTTTCAGAAAGTATTTCCAGAAAGAATGTATATATATTTGCAAACAGAATGAATGTTATTTTCTATTCTTCACTTCCCAAATGCCTGATTTATAATTTTGGCTACTTCTTGTATTTGCCTAAATAAAAGATTTGTAAGTTTACCTTCACAATTGATTGTATTTTATTTTATTTTATTTTATTTTATTTTTACTTATTTATTTCTTTTGGCTGAACTGGGGATTGAACTCAGGCCATTGCGCTTGCCAGGGAAGCACTTATTCCACTGAGCCACCTCCCGGGCCTTGATTGTATTTTAAATTGTGATAAAAAAGCTACATTTTGAGGGGTGTGATGGTGCACACTGGAGGCTGAGATAGGAGATTTGTTGTGAGTTTGAGACCAGCCTGGACTGCAAAGAGAGCTGAAGCTCAGCCTGAGCTGCATGATAGCACCCTGTTTCAAAAAGACCTAAAAAAAAGAGCAACATTTTGCAAATAATTGACATCATTGCATATTCACTGATTGGGACCAGTTTAGCTTAGTGAATGTGAACCTCAGGTTAATGGGAAGGGGAGATGAGAAATGCTTGCCTCTTGACTCTGGGAACGTATGCAAAGTATATTTATGCCGGTAGGGTTCTGGGGTCTACTCCAGTCCATCGCTGTCCTGGCACATGTCAGGTACTACATCATTGATTTAATGTAATGTGAGAGAGGAAAGAGTCATTGAGTTTCCAAGGCAGCAGGTGTAGCTGAACAATGGGATACTTCATCTAGCGTTTATCAGTACTAAATTAGTAGTGCTGGCAGAATATACTGAGGGTTGACACCAGCACTGTAAGTATAAATAGTTCCTTTGAATGTATATATATTAGTACAATTATGGCAAACTTATTGGAACCTTTTATCTTAGCTCTCGTTTTATTTCCTGGGGATCAGTTGTCATTTTAATTTATAGTACATTCATGTAAGTTCCTGTGTTTCCATGGAAACCAGATCACATGACGTGAGCACTGCTGGTAACAATTCACACTTCCATTCTGGCTTAAAAACAAGACAAGATGATGCACATCAGCATCTCTTTGCCTAAATGCTTCAGAAGACAATACATCATCAAATAAACATACAAAACCCCATGCATTGTACCATGCAGTGTGTGCTTTAGCTGACTGTTGGACACACAGATTGAGTAGAACCAAATGAATACTGAATTTTGATTCTAATTTCCATGCTTTACTTCAAGAAAATTCTGTGCTTGATTTCAAGGTAGAGGTTTCTTCCCCCCCAACTACCCAAAGGGCGCTGTTTCTGTCGATGTCCTGCCTTGTCATTCAGGATGTCCTTGTGCTCACTATGTAGACAAGGCTGGCCTGGGACTCATGAGATTCCATCTGCTTGAGGCTTCTGAGCCCTGGGAATACAGGCTGCAGACCAGTCCTTGCTGAAGGGGTTTTAAGTGTCTGAAATCTTAAGCCAGATATCAGGAAATCATGTCTCAACTTTGAGTGTTATTTCTCTTCATGTTGTACACAAAGCAGCAGTGGATGTAACGTTGGACTTCACCACTTGTTCCTCCCTTCATCTCCATAGAACCACTCAGATTGGGAATTGTCAGGGGTTCTGTGTCAACAAAATAAGGTGAGCACCGATCGATGTGGTAGAGATCAGTTTGTTCCTTGCCATAAGGACTTCCAGTTGTCACTTCATCTGGGTTTAGAAAATGGGGAAGGAGAGCCTTTCCTTGGTCTGAGTGTCTCACAGTAGAGATGAGAAGAGAGTCAAGTCCAAGAGCAGTCGGGCTGCTGACTGCAGGGCGCTGCTACCTTCCTTGGGGTTGTTTTAGTTGCGTTTGTGGCAGCAGGGACATCTTGGGAGGTATCAGTTGGAAGGAGAGACAAGAAGGATTTTGGTTTGAGTAAATCTGCCTGTGTAGGAGCAGTGCAGGGTGGGAAGTGTGAAGATATTGGCTGGTTCTAGGCTGGCCCTGAAAGGAATCTTCAGACTTTAAATGTGTATAACTCTGTGTCTTTGGAGAGAAGTTTGCACCCATAAAAGCACCTCCAAAATCAACTTTTTTGAATCAAAGTTGGAGTGTCTCTTCATCTGTATGGATGAAACATTTAGCCATGTGTACAGGACAGACATTTGTGGACCTTTGGGATGGTGTCAAGAAACATACCTTGTAGGGTGTGTGTATGCTTTCTCTGTCTTCATATTTCCTGTCAAAGAAACCTCTTGAACATTAGAGTTCGTGAAGTTGGTTGCCACGGTTCACTCCAACAGGGTAAATCCAGGTCCTCATTCACATCTGCTCTTTTTTCCTGCCTTTGAGATTGGGATCTGATCCCAAGATAAAATTAGCACTGACTTGTGCCAATGGAGCCTTTGGAGTACATGCAGAGCCGTGCCATACTCATCCCCGTTCTTACCAAGGAGATCCCTCCTGAGCCTGCGCTTTGATTTGTTCATAAGTTGGGGACATAAGATTTATTTTCATGACAGAATTTAACTATGCATGGAGCTTGGTGCAGGTAGAACATATAGTGTGATGTAGATACTATCTTTTTTTTTCCTTCCAGTACTGGGTGTTGAACTCAGGACCTTGCACTTACCAGGCAAGCACTTATTCTACTGAGCCATCTCCCCAGCCCTAGATATTATCTTGTAGATTTTAATCTTTCTACCTTTCAGTCAGAATCTCCCGTCCCTCACTATGTCTGGCTTCAAAGGCTCTATGTGGGGAAAACAAATTGGATGAAATTCTGCACAGACATAACATCACAATACAGTGAGAAAGATATTCAAAATCCTATCAAGAAGAGCGGGTGACACAGTAGGAAAAGGTCTTCCAAAAAGGAGTAGACTGGGCCGGGGAGATAGCTCAGTAGAATAAGCGCTTGCCTGGAAAACACAAGGGCT